ATGCCCCATCCTGGGGGATCACAAATACTCGCACTGGAGCAAACTGGCGCCCCAGGTAAGGCAGGTCTTGCACTGGGGAGCACCTGGAGCTGGATACAGCCCCTCGTGTCCCCCAGCTGCTCGTGGGCTGGGGATTTCAAGTCCCAGCTGAAAAGCTGCAGTTTTGAAGGGAACATTTTCTGTCCTTGCTACAGAAGCTTCCTGAGCTCACCCTGAGGAGGCTGAAGCTGGAGCAGAGCAAGGCTCGGCACCTGCCCCTGCACCTGCACGCCCACCGCCTCTGCCTGCCCCTGGGCCAGCCCTTAGACTTTGTCTGCAAGCTGCCCCTCTTCTTCCAGAAAACACTGAGGAAGCTAGAGCTGGACATCCCTAAGGACTGACGAGGCAGGAGTGGAATGGTGCCATGCATCTCCACATCTCCAGCACGTGGCAGCAGCTGTGCCCACCTTGGAGCCGGTGGTGGGGTGAAGCCTGCAGTCTCTGTGCTGGTGCTGATGCTGCTGGATTCAGAGTGGGTGCCTACCTGTGCTTCTGGCCCAGGAAAGCAGCTGGACACACTGAGGAGCCTCTAGTTGAGACAAACAAGGCTGGATGAAAGTTGGGCTTTGCCTGATTTGTGTTTTGAACTTGTCTCTGGGCAATAAAAGCTCCAGTTCCCTTGAGGGAAGGTGGTGTGTGTCTCTGTGTTCTGGCCAGGTGGGACTGAGTCTCTGTGTAGGTTTGAGCAGACCTGGTTGCAGCCCCTCCCAGATTTTGGAACTGTCACTTGTCTCTCCAGAGTTGTTTAGCTCAGATTTGGAGAGTCCCTTCATTGGAAAATCCATCGAAAGTGCAATTTGGCAGTGGCTCTGGGTATTTTTTTGCTGTGCACAAGGGGTTCCTTGGCTTGGCTGGGCTGAGCAGCTCTGAGACTGCCCCTGCTCTGTGCTGCCAGAGCTTGGTGTGGGTTTGTCAGCACTGTGCTGCTGGGAAACTGTTCTGTAACTGCTTTTTCAGTTATCTACTCCTTAGTTTTAGAACCCCTTTGGGGTTCCTTGCCCTTGGGAGCTTTCCTTAGAGCCAGTTTCTTCCCCCTGTGCCCTGAGAGGGAGGCAGGAGAAGGGATTGGTGATCTGGGTAATGGCAGCAGATGTTCTGCCTCAAAATTATCTCATTTGGTGTCTCCTGACCTGTCTGAGGAGCTTGGGGCTGGGCAGCAGGATGTTCTCGGACCCCTCTGGCTGGTTTGGGTGCTGGAAAGGGGGTTTTATGCCCCACTGGGCCACTGTGTATCTGGCTGGGGCTTCTTGCTGTGGGAGGGCCCAGTCCCCTGGCTCCCTGCTGAAAATAGCTGGGGACCCCCATGCCCTCGGGCCACAGCGCCAGAAATCTGTTGGCTGATGAGAGAGGGACATAAAACCACGGGGAGCCAGGAGCGGCTGTGGCCGGGCAGGAACGCTGCCCTGCAGGAATGCTGTCAGGGAGGAAAGCTGCTTTCCCAGCCTGCTGCCTTCCCTGCTTGCTGCTGTGGCTGCTGGGGTGGGTTTTTCTATTTCTGTTTGTGAAAAGGCTTCCCCTGTAATTACGAGGTGATTTAACGCCCTGTCTGAGCTGTCGTTCACAGCTGCCGGACACAGCGCTCTGCAGAATCTCGGCAGGGGCTCCTCAGCCTGGCAGAGTCGCTCCTTGAGCCAGTCACACCTCAGGCAGCCCTCATCAGTGTCTCTTCCTCACTTCAACATGTCCCTCTCGCACACGGCCGCCGAGTACATGCTCTCTGATGCTCTGCTCCCGGATCCCAGCAGTTCCCGAGCCAAGGGCTTGCGGCTGGAGCTGCCGAGCGATCGCCTGCTGAAGTTTGTCACCGTGGGGCTGCCCCTCTTCCTCGTCTCACTGGCTTTTGCCCGGGAGTTCTCTGCTGGTGAGTTGCAGCTTTTCCAATATGTTCTTCAGGTCGTGGGCAATCACCAGCGGTGGTTTGGTTTGGGCAAGCCCCTTGTATTCTTGATGGTGTCATGATCCAAAGCGGAACAGCCTGGAAGTCCAGTTTTAGGAGCTGTTCTGCCTCATGGGTGTTTATTGATTGTTTTTAATGGATCATAATTCACTGGGACAGTGTGGGAACAGCTGTGCTAACCCCAGGAGCAGCACTGAGTCAATGCCCAGCCTCAGCTGCTTGTGCCCAGCACCTTTGGGTGCCATGGGCTTGTTTCCAAGGAGGAGAAGGAGGAGGAGGAGGAGGGTACCAGCAGCACGGAGAGATGCTTTGTGACCTCAGGCTAAATCTGGCCTCGGCCAACATCTAACTGCTCTCCCTGAGGATTTGGTTTTACTCCAGTTTTTGGCTGGTTAGTCTATAATTCCCTGCACTGTGTACACACCGCTACACACAAAGGTTTTGTGTTTGGGAAGAGATGGAAAAGTCCTGGCTAGAAACACAGCAGCTCCAAAATGACCATGAAAAGGCTTTTTTTGATTCAAAGCAATGCCTGAGATGTAATTACCCTCCTGTAAGGCATTTGCTCATGGCTTTGGAGTGTTCCTCCACCCTCCATGGCTGAGGTTTGCTCTCCTCCTCACCCCAGGCTCCCAGATCAGCTGCTTCTCTCCCACCAACTTCACGGGGAAGCAGTCTGCCTACGCCGACACGGCTTGCTGGGACTCCCTCATCCACCATGGCTTTGACGCCGAGGGACGTGCCATCACCAAGTCCCTCTGGGCTCTCAAGGTAGGGTCAAAGTCACGTCTGGGTTCCCCTGCATCCCATCTGGACATCCACAGCAAGAGCAACTCCACATCCTCAACAACCGTTCGTATTCTTTGCCCAGGTTTTCCCCTACTCGCTGCTGGTGGTGGCGGTGCTGATGTACCTGCCGTACCTGCTGTGGCGTTACGCTGCCGCCCCTGCCCTGCACTGTGACCTCCTCTTCATCATCGACGAGCTGGATAAATCCTACAACCGCTCCGTGCGCCTGGTGCAGCACATGAAGAAAGTCCAGCAGGCCAGTGCCGAGCCGGAGCAATTCTGGGAGGAGTATGAGAGGTGAGGCCAGGCCAGGTCACTGTGGCCCTTGGAGTCCCTCCACGGGACGTTGTGGCTGCACCCAGGATGGACCTGGGTGAAATGGGGGGTGGCTCTCACTCCCCCTGTGTCCCTCCACCCCCAGGGCCCGCCAGGAGAGGTATTTCGAGTTCCCGTTGCTGGAGCGGTACCTGACCTGCAAGCAGCACGCCCACGCCCTGGTGTTCATCTACATCCTGAGGAACGTGCTGCTGCTCCTGTTCTTGGCTGCTACCTGCCTCTACCTGGTCTTTCTCCACCTTAACATCTTCTTCCAGGATGAGTTCAGCTGCTCCATCAAAACGGGGTTGCTCCAGGCAGAGGCGCACATCCCCTCGCTCATCCCTTGCAAGCTGGTCTTCTTCTCCGTGTTCCAGCTCATCAGCCTCTCAGTTGGCAGTGTCTATGTCCTCCTCATCCCTGTTGTCATCTACAATGCCCTGCAGCTCTGCCAGTGGGACAAGGGGTTGCTCTCTGTCTATGAGATGCTGCCTGCCTTCGACCTGCTCAGTCGAAGGATGCTCACCTGCCCCCTCAACGACCTCAACGTCATCCTTCTCTTCCTCCGTGCCAACATCTCCGAGCTGACCTCCTTCAGCCGCCTCAATGCTGTCAGTGCCCTGAGGGAAGCCACTGCCAACAAGGAGGACATCGATACTGTCGTTGACTTCATGACACTGCTGGCTGGGCTGGAGACCACCAAGCCCAAACACCAAGCTTGCGGCCCCGAGGCCGAAGGCAGTACAGCCCTCTCCAATGGTGCAGCCCTAGGTAGGCTTTTTGGGTAGAGACAACTTCTTTGCTCTTCTCTTGGCTCCCACACCACAAGATCCCACCCTTGAAATGTGGCTGGCCAACCCTAAATCCTTTGCCAAGACCTTAAGGTGTTCAGGGCATAGCTGGGGGTCACTGTGAGGGCTGACAAATCCTGGAAGGGGTTCTGGCATCCAGAGTGTGATGCTACTGCGATCCAAGGTGTGGGCAGGGGTTGCTATAGGAACAGCAAGCCAAGAGATTGCTGCTTAAATCCAAGCTCTGGGCAAACTGCGGGGCTGGGAGGGTCCCTGTTTTTGGCAGCTCATCCTGCTGGGAGTGAGGTTGAGAGTTTCAAATCCTGGGGGGCTGATGCCAAGGATGCCATGCCCGCCCCCCTTCTCCCGTTCATATGGTACTGGTGGGCACAGTGGGCCTGTGTGTGGAGATGGGTTCCAAGATAAAACCACATTCCCAGGACCTGTACTGCTCCCTCTCCCACATGCTTTGGGTTTTGGGGAGCTGGATGCCTCCTCTGGGGTCTCACAGGGACCCCTGGTGTCCATGGCAAGTGGTTTGCAGGCTGTGTGAGACAGCCCAGCCCCACAGGTAGGAGCTGAGAGGCCTGGGCTTCACTCCTGGCCCTGAACACAGTCTGAATTATGGTATAAAAAAACCCACAGACTGAGCTGGAGTCTGCATCCTTGTTACTATGGCAACCCAGGGCCAGCACAGCTGGCTCCTGGGCCAGTTACTTGGTGCTGGAAAAAGCCCAGATCCTAGTCCAGCTAATTAACTGCCTGCTCTTCTCTCCTTGTCTAGAACCAAAGCCTGGAGTGGAAACGATGGGAAAAGCCTCACGGGACTCACTCGGCTCTGCCTGACCCCGAAGGAGGCAGCAGGCAGGGATCCTGTGATCCCAGGATCCACTTTTCTGACAGAGCTCTACTGCAGCAGCCGGGCTGAACCCACCTGTGCTTCCTGCACCTGGCCTTTCCCTTCTTATGTACATTCGTCCAGCAAAAAAGGGTTAAACAATCTGTGTTTTGTGCAGAACCTCTTGGTCTCTTATTCTAAGAACTGGGTGCCATGCTGTGCCTCTTCACACAAATTTCCCTGCTCTTTTGGTAAGAGGTGGGGCACGGAGGATTAGAAATGCTCCTTCAGATTAGAAATCTGAAGGAAAAAAAAAGATCCAGGAATAAAATGAGTTTAACTTTTTATTAAGAGAGGGAGGTGGAAGGCACTTGCAGCCCTCCACAGCTCCGTCCCAGCCCAGCCTTAGTATTTGGCTGTGGTTTTTTGGCAGAGCTCCTCTCTCCCCCTCTCCACCCTGCAGCTGGAAGCTGATCCCTGGATCCTGTGAGCACCCTGCCCTGGGGATCAGCAGTCTGTACCCAGAGAAATGGGGTGTCTGGGGGGCCAGGACCAGCTCCATAGGGAAGGGAGCAGCAGTGAGGGGTTCAGCTCCCATTGCTGTGTCCTGCTGCTTCTCCTTACATAATTTTTCATATATTTAATTGTAATTGGCTTTTCCCCCTTCCCCCCACCCTGTAGCCTTGGCTTGAGTCCACAGAGGAGCTGAAAATTTGTTTAATTAATAAGGTAGTAATGAAGTCTCTGATTCCCTGGCTTGGGAAGGGACAGTGCCAGGAGCCATTAGTGTTTTGCCAGAGGTCTGAGCTCACTCATCTCCCTAATTTAGGGGGTACCTGGAGCTGGGAAGGAGCAGCAGCTCCCTCCCTCCGTCAGCATTCCCTGCAGGGAGGGTGTCCAGCAGGAAGGGGGGTGCAGGCAGCCCCTGGGAGTTGTACAGGGGGCAGGCCTGGTACTCACAGGGCCACTCAGCCCAGGCATAGCGCAGGCCCAGCACCAGTGTCCTGCAGCCACTCAGCGCCAACGTCACCGTGCGGGACCCCACTGCCACCACTGGTGCCAGCAGCCACTGGCACGGGGATGCCTGGCTGGAACAGCACACCTGGAGAGGGGAGAAACTCCCATCAGTGTTGCCTTCCCTTTTGCAGCTCTTTGGAGAGGATATCCCACTCCTCACCTCAAATGCCCGCGCATCCCTCTGACGGTAGATGAGCTTCTGGCTGTAGGTGACATTCAGCAGCCCCCTGGTCACCTCCAGGACAGCCCGGGTGGGATATGGTCCCTGGAACACGAGGCCCTTGTCCCCATAGGCCACAGCCATGGCACCCAGCAGCAGTCGGTGAGCCACATTCTGCTTGTCCCGGGGGTGGATACTGCCCAGGAAGAGGAGGAAGATGGAGCTGGAACCCAAAAACTCCATCCCTACATCCTCACCCCAGCCCAGGACTCACCTGCCATAGGGAGAGTGCTCATCGCCCAGATCCATGGCTACAGCCATGAAAGTTCTGGGCATCCTGGCATTGGGAACAACCCCCAGGTTGGCTGTTTGGTGCCAGCGGAGCCGGGCGAAGCTGTCGTCTGCACTCTGACGGCGGTAGGTGGACAGCTGAGGGGCACAAGGGAAATGGGGAAGTGGCTCAGATCCCAAAACTGGCCACTGTGGTCCCTGCCTGGGATTTTCAGCACTTGGCAGGATGCATATGTGTTTAGAGCATCCTCTCCCTGGCATCCCCCAAGGACAACAGGGGATGTCACCCCTCTCACCCCCCGACACCTGCACAAAGCCAAAGGGGAGAAGTGGCTCCGTCTGTCTGGCTGATCCGGTGTGGAACGCCCAGCGCCAGTCAGCAATGAGCGCAGGGAAGGTGCAGTTGTACTGGTCTGTGTTCAGGAAGGTATTGGCCTCACCTGTCTCCCAGAAAGAAGGGCTGGTGAGAGCCAGTGGGACAGTGAGGGCTGCTCCACCCCAGGGGATAGAAATGGGGGGCTCACCCTGGTACCAAGCGACACCCCGTAGGGTCATGTTGAGCAGCGGGTGGATCATGGCGTTCCAGAGCACGGAGGGCGTTTGTGGGCCAGAGAGATGCTGATGTGGGAAGGTGCTGGAAGACACAGCTAGGTTTAAGTGGAGTACAAAGCACAAGACAGCCTTTAGGTTAAAGCAAGCACCACTGCAAAGGGAGATCTGGGATCCCTCTCTTCTCCCTTTACCCACCCAGATGTGCCTTATGCTAGGCATGGGAGGTGTTTTTATCCAGAGAGGGTATAATCATGCATAGAGGGGGCTGTGAGGCTCCTGGAGAGGAGGTGGGGTGGGAAGGGATGAGGATACTCCCCAAAAGCAGCGTGGTACAGGGCAGGAGGTGTTTCCACAGCACCTTCTCTCACCTCCCTGTGTCCTCTGGGAGCCCACATGCCTGCAGAACTCGGCGGGAGGACCAGGCCTCGATGGGGGTCCCTCCCCAGGCTACCTCCACCAGCCCGATGGGGGACCCCAGAGCCTCATACAGGGAGCGCCCCAACAGCCAGCACACGGCCGAGAAGTAGGTGAAATTCCCATGGCCCAGGTTTTCTGCTCAAGAAACAGCAGGCTGCAAAGGGAAGCAGTGGGAAAAAAAACATTTCCAAGCTCTCTTTTGGAGGCACATTGCACTCACCAGCTGTTGGAATGGACCATGGCAAATCAATCTGCTCCAGGTCCTCCAGCTCCACACTGGAGCGGGCAGGCGCCGCAGCAAAGATACGGATGTAGGGATAGTGAGTGGCGGCGGCGAGCTCCTGGCTGGCATTGGCCACCTGAAGAAGGGCCAGGAGCATGCAAGGTGCTTCTCTGCCTGATTCCTACCGGCTCCTGATCTGTGCTGTGGGGCCTTACCTGCAGGACTGTCATTGCCATGTTGCTCTGCCCACTGCAAAGCCACACATCTCCAAAGTAGATGTCCCGCAGTGTCACTTTCTCCAAGCCCTGCTCAGCTGTCAGTGCATAGGGACCGCCCCGATCCACTGGGTCCAGGACAGCTGTCCAAGTCCCAGAAGGTCCTGGAGGAAGAGGATGGTGCTTATCTTCCACCACCCTTATGAAGGCCTCAAGACCTTCACCAGGATGTTGGATGAGCAGCCAACAACCAGTGGGGAAGGACAGATAACAGGGAAAAGCTTCTCCACCACAGACACAGGTTGGGGAAGTGGATTTCAGAAGCTCTCTGGCATCAGAGGGACCTTTCTCCTGCAGGAATTTAGGGGTTAAAAAAGAAAACCTGGAAAACAAATGTGTGTCAGAGCAGAAGCTGCTGGGAGGAACTGGGATTACAGGAGCAGCTTGGTGTGTGTGACACTGAGATGTCTCCAGCTAATTTTAGAGGCGCCAAATCGAAGCGTAAAGATATTCTGCTGGAGCTTAGCGTGGATTTTCTGGCTGGATCCTGCAGATCTCCAGGATTGCTGCTCTCCCACAAGACACCTCCAGGTTCTTCATCTTATGGAGATGCCCTTGGGCAGCACTTTTACCCTCCAAAGGTGATGAGCTCCCTCCCAACTCTTCAGGCAGGGATGTAGCTGGGATTTGAGGTGCCCCTGAGCCCTCCCAGCTCCAGGAAGGTTCTGCTTGCACAGACAACAGCCTTTGGGGCTTAGAGATCCCACAGGATCCTCCAAGGGGGCACAGGTTGAAAAAGAACCTGAGGGTGCTCTGGAGGTTCCTCAGACCTGGTTTAGACAGGGAGAGAAGCTAAACTCCCCTTGTCCCCTCCACAGCCTCATCGCTCGGCTCCAGCCCGTGCGGTGCCACCCACTCCAGCAGCAGCTCCGCTCCCGCTGGGCGCCCACGGGAGCCACTGCTGGCAACCAAAGTGAGCAAAGGCTGCCACTGCTGGGGAGGGGAATGGCTGAGCCCACCCAGGGCTCCTGGAGAGGGAAAAGAATGAGCTGGAGATGTCACGAGCACCTCTGCAGCCCCAGAGCAGCAGCGTGACAAACAGAGGTGTGCCAAACCCTGCCTCACTCACCTCACCATCGGCTCTGATTTGGGCTCAGACAGGTTTTTGGCCACCAAAACCATCAGTTTCTAGTGAAAGTCTGGGACTGACCTTTAACCTGTGCTGTTTTCTCCATGATGACGAGGCCACTGGCACCTGAGAGAGTCAGGGTCACCATGGCCCCTAGCTCCCCGTGGCCCCACACCACAGCCCCTGACGGCTTCTGCTGCAGCACCATGTGGTCACCATAGTAGGAGGCAAAGCTGAGCATTCCCCCTGGAATCAGCAAACAGGGCAAACATCAGCTCCAAGAGAAAAACACCCTCAGCATGGCCTCTGACCCCCTCTTAAATACAGATTATTTGAGATCCCACCTAATTTACAGATTCCTGGTCAGCTTTAAAGTGGTTAAAATCACCACAGAGCTGAGGAAGGGGCAGAATTTAAATTCCACAAGAGGGAATTCACCTCCTAAAGTACAGGGAGCATGTTACATCTTGTATTACATGGATTTGGATACAGATTTTGGTAAAAATTCCTCTAATAACAGCATGGGAGTGTCTCTCCCAGCCCAGCCTTGCTAATTAATGTTCTGATGTATTTTTCCCTTGGAAAAAGGTTTGTCAAGGAGTGGGATGGAAAACAGCAGCATCGGCAAAGGCACCTTCAGTGGGGATGGAAGGAGAAGGCTCAGCCCTGGCATCCCCAAAAGCCCCATTTTTGCAGAGTGAAAAGAAAATCATATTTGAAAAGGGGGTCAGAATAATATGTGAGGGGTGACCTGGGCAGAGAACCCCAGTGACCAAATCAGAGCTCATGGAGCCTCATCTCCTCTGCAGCTCATCCTAGGCTGGGTTTTAGGAAGGAAAGGAACAATATTCTTGGCCCCTCAGGAGTCAGCTGCATCGCCGGTCCCGCTGCCTCATGCCACAAGGCTCCGGGAGTTATATAAAAAACAAGTCGGAGGAGAAAAAAAAACCTAAAACTGAGACGCCAGGGAAGAGTGGAAGCTATAAAAAGCAGCTGGGAGGAGGGAAGGGAAGAAGAAGGGAGGAGGGAAGGGAGGAGAGCCCACGAGACACCACCAAGGAGCCGCATGCGGCTCCCACCTTACGTAAAGCATCGTCCCACGGCAGCAGAGCTGGGCCAAGGGCGCTGGGGAGGGGCTGGGGGTGTGAAGGGTATCAAAGTGGGACTCAAAGCATGCAAAGGGCATTGAGGTGGGGTTTGGGGGATGCCACACTTGTCAAAGTGGGACTCAGGGTGTGCAGAGGGTGTCAAACTGGGGCTCTGGGAGTGCAGAGGGCATAGAAAGAGAGCTTGGGGGTGCAAAGAGTGTGAAAGATGGGTGGGGGGTAACAAGGACATCAAAACTGGGCCAAAGGGGATGCCAAAGGCATCAAAATGGGGCTGGGATGGCACCAAGGGCCCAAAAGTGGGGCTCAGACTACTGCCAACATCATCAAAGAGGGTCTGGGGGTTCAGAGGGTGTCAAAGTGGGGCTGGGAGGATTTACAGGAGGTGCCATGAGGGGCACCCGGAGAGCGGGGCTGGGGAAGTGCCAATGCACATACGAGGCTCGGAGTGTGCAAAGGGCACCAAATCAAGGCTTGCGAGGCCTTAGAGGATTCCCCGGGCATCGGAGCCGGGCTGCTGCGATGCCAAGGGTTCTGGCGATGCCAAGTGCCCCGAAGTGGGTCTCGGGGGATCTCAGGGGAGGCTCGCTCCCGGGCCCGGCTGCAGAGGATGCCCGCGGGGCTGGGGGGGTCGGAGGGGGACCCTCCCCAGCCCTTTACCTGCCGCCGCCGGAGCCAGAGCCAGCAGCGCCAGCAGCGCCCACGCCGCCATCCTGGGGGGCCAACGGACTGCGAGGGCGCCGGGACCCCCGGCACTGCCCGGTATGGGCCGGTACCGCCCGGTACCCCCCGGGGCCCCCCGGTACCCCCGGCCCGCCCCGCAGGCGGGCCCGGCGCGCGGGGGGGCGTGGCCTGTGCACGCACCGCCCATTGGGGCGGTTGCCAAGCGACAGCGTCCGCACCACGGCCTGAGGTGCCGGCGCGGCCCGGTCCGGCTCTGACGGGAGAGGCCGAGAGGAAAGGCCGGGAGCGCGGGGCCGAGGGTTGCGGGGCTGTGGGAGGAGCCGGGGCACACCGGGGGAGAGAACCGGGGCACACCGGGGGAGAGAACCGGGGCACACCGGGGACGGGAGCCGCGACCCCCCCGCGCCCGCTCACCCCGCCCAGGCCGGGGCGGCGCGCGCGCAGAGAGAGAGGCGGCCGTGCGCGTGCGCGGCGGGCAGGGAGCGTGTCTTCCCCTAGCGGCGGCTCTGGCCCCCTCAGACGTTCGTCCGCGGGTTCGAGTCCCGGCGCTGCCCGGTGGCACCGGGCACTGTGGGTGCCGCTGCAGAGCGTCCAGGAGAAGCGACCATGTCCATCGCCGCCTCCAACACCAGCATGAGGGTGCCTGCCGGCTTCCGGAACCTGCTGGAGGGGCTGGCGCGGGAAGTGCTGCGGGAGCAGCCCACCAACGTGGTGGCCTTTGCAGCGCAGTACTTCCAAAAGCTGCTGCAGCAGAGAGAGGGTGAGTGGCCTTGCCCAGCAGCCATCCCCACACTGCCATCGCCTGCCCCACGCTGCATTGCCTGCCCAGCCTGCTCCGTCTGCCCATCGCCAGGGCGTCAGGCCTGCCCCACATGTCCCTTGCCGAGGCTGTCAGTCCTGCCCCCTGTGCCCACCATCTGCAGCATCAGGTCTCTCCTGTGTGCCCATCACCAGGGCATCAAACCCGCCCTTGTGCCCATTGCCCATAGCCTTGTGCCTGTCTTTAATGCCTACCACCAAGGGCCATCAGGCCTTCCATTAGTGCCATCACCCAGGATGTTGTGCCTGTCCCATGTGCCCATCGCCCGTGGTACCAGGTGCCCATTGCATGTGGCATCAAGCCTCCTCCTTCCCTAGCTAGTGGCATTGACCCGGTGGCGTGGGGAGCCATGCTGGAGGACGATGGTCTCACCTGGCCCCCTTCCAAGGTAGGCTGCCCTCCACTCCACTGAGGTGCCAAGAGCTGCACTGTGTCCCTGCTCCCACCCTGTCCCTGCCACCCCTGTGCCACATCATCTAAATTTTCTTCTTTCTTCTGGGACCAGAAAGAGGCCAAGGACATGGAGGGGGAGCAGACAGCACCAGGGGAGGCAGGCAGCGTGCACAGCTCTGGATGACTGTGATTCCACCCCAAAATGAGTGGAGAGGAGCCAAAGAGGAGCATGTCCCCATAACCTTCATGAACTGGAACACCTCTCCGGAGATGCAACCTCAGCACTTGCCCCAGATCCCCCATTTCCCACTGTCCAACCCCAAAACTAAAAAAAGCCCCTTGGTCCTCCCCTGGCTCCTGCCCTTTTCCCGTGGGTGGGTGCTCCACTCCCATCCTGCCCCTGTGGTACTGTTTTAATGAGGAATTTTATTAACGAGGTCCCCGCTGTTATTAGCGTCGATCACCTGAGATTTCTCCCCGAAAAATCCTGGGTTTGGGGCTGAGCTGAGCACGGGATGATATTTTTAGCCTCTATATTTAGGCCCCTGCATCCCTGGAGGTTGGAAGAAACTTCATAACATCCCAGCGTGAAGGAATGATGTGACATTGCTCCTCTCCTACCCCCCTCCATAAGCTGAGATACCTCCATGGAGTTCTGGGGGACACTCAAGGGCCCCCTAGTCCTATTCCCGCCTGTGAAATTCATATTTTCCCACACAATGTGGTTTCAAAATCCCCCCCAAAAAGTGGGGTTTGCGTCGAAGCCGGCTGCTCTATTTTTGGAGAGGACTGAACCCCCCCATCCATGCTCACCCCGTTTTTACCCCCTCTTTCCTGTTTTCCATCGCCATATGTGGTGCTCGCCCACGGCACGGGGCATGACAGCGGCTCCCCAGGGAAAAACAGGAAGGAGGGATGGGGAAAAAAAGCTGGCGGGGACCCCGTGCCGGGGCTGATGCCAACCAGCTACGCCTTGACCCCCCCTGCAGCACCGCCTCGCCGGCTGCCGGCTCCTGCCTCGGCAGCCGGCAGCACTGCCCGCCCAGGGCACCATTCCAGCATCCAATTCCCTTTTCTTTTAAGGATTTTTTCCCGTTTTTAAAGGATTTTTTTAACACCTCGCTGCCACCATCTCGAACCACGACGGCGGGATGTTCTCAGCAGGTCTCGCCAGCTGCACTTCCCGTTCTCCCCTTCCAAAATCTGAGTTGTTTCCTTGGAATTAAAATTTTCGAGGTGCTGGAGCACCTGAAAAAGCATCATCCAGATGAAGGGGTCCAGGGAGGAAAAATGCAGAGCCTGGAACAGGCTCAAAACTCGCCATTAATGATTAGAAATGTTCTGGCATTTCGCGTCCCTCCTCCGCAGCCGCAGCCTGCGGGAGACGGCGGCGCTCGGCGGCTCTGCCAGGACCCGGCTGCCACGGATGGAGCGGATTTTGGGGGCTAATTGAGGGACTAATCCTAATTTTGGGGCTAACTTCTCAGATCCATGACCCCAAATGATTGACTCAGATCAATCACTCCAAAAACCCTTCCCACTTAACTCGCCCAAAACACCGGGTCTTCTCTCATTGGAGCAGGCACTGATGGATCTGGAGGGTCTAAAATCCAGGGAAAAGGATTTCTTCCCATCAAAAATCCCAGCAAGAGCTGCCAAGGCTTCTCCTGGAAGCTGCAGCGGGGTTTTCTGGAGCAGAGCTATTCCCACCCCCCACCCCCACCCACCCTGGTGTGCTGGTGGAAAGAAGTGATGGTGGAAAAGTGGCTCCATTGGGAGAGCTGAGTGGCTCACAGGGGAATTTGAGGGATGCCTGGGAGCATTTCCCAAGGGAGAATTTGGGTGCCTGGCATGTGCTGGGGCAGGGGTGACCCCCATCAACCTCCAAGTGTGGGGGAAGCAGTGGAGGGAGGTGGCAGTGGTGGGATGTGCCTGGGATGAGGTGGAGGGGGATGGGGAGCAGGGTGTCCTGGGGTGTCAGGGGAAAAGAGGTGCCACCACCTGCACCCAGCAGGAGTGGCCTTGGAGAAAGAGATGGAGGTGGGATGGGAATGGGAACAAGGATGGTGGCAGGGAACAGGGTGAGGGTGATGATGGGGATGGGGACAGGGAGAGGGACAGGGATGATGGGGTTGAAGCTGGGAATGGGAGCAGGGATTGGCATCATGAGGAGGATGGGGACAACAAGTGGGATGGGGATCATGACAGGGATGGTGACAGAGATGGGGACAGGGAGGACGGTAGGGATGGAGAAGGTAGTGGAGGTGATGGGGATGAGGTCAGGGATGGGGACAGTGCCCATTCCAGTGCCAGAGACAGTGATGTCAGTGGGACAGGGATGTTAATGGGGATGATGATGGTGGCAAAGAGGAAGGCCAGTGCCACCAGGCCCCCAAGCAGGATGACTGCTGAGAGCAAACGTGGCCAGGGAGAGCCAGTGGGGCCCGAGGGTGCGGGTGGGTCGGGGGGTGCTGGTGCCCGCCTTGGGGGGGCCAGGCTGTGTTTTGGGGGCTGGCTGGAGCAGCATCGGCGCGGAGCCCACGGGCGACTTATGCAGTTGCTTAGCAACTCCCAAACCCGGATTAGAGGCGAGCGAGGCAGGCGGTGGGGGGGCTGTGGGCTGCAGCCCCCCGCATTGCCCTGGGGGTCCCTCCTGTTTCCCGGGGTGCCCCGGCTCACCCTGCCGGTCCCAGCACCTCGACGTGGTCTGGGGTGGCAGCAGGGTCTGCAGGGAGCACCGAGGACTGTGAAAGTGGCTGGAGGTGCTGGTCTGGTTGGAGAACACCCCAAATGTAGGGGGGCAGATGCTCCTGTGAGTGGGGAAGGGACCCCCAGACCCCAGAAGTGGAGCCCACTCCTCTGCTTGGAGCCTGCAGCTGGGCACATCAGCCCCGGGGTTCTGCAGAATGCTCGGTAGGACACTGTGTCCCACCATGCCCACCCTTCCTCACCATCTTCATCTTTGCCATCCTCATCCTCACCCTCCTTCAGGACCAAGTCCTAAGTAGGTCAAGAAGGTTTTTTACCCCTGTGCAAGCCAATCTGGGGGCAAAACTTGCCTCCAGCATCACTGTGGATCATGTACCCCCCAAAAAATGAACCCATTACCCCCATTTGCTATAGCTTTGTCCCCCAAAAAACCCTCCACGCTGAAGGCAAGGCTCATCACATCTTGGCTCGCATCCTCTGCATGTGATGTTGTGTTCCACGAAACTCCAAGGCGAGCTGCCGGCTCCTTTAAGTGTTAGGAGGGAGTTGGAGGCTGCAAAATAAAATTGGAGGAGGGAAAATAATGGGGTGCTGGGGGCGGGGGGTGCGATGGGTGCTGCGCCCACCAAGAGCTCAACCAACTCCGCGACCCCGCAGCGCTGCTGCAGCCCCCGGGCTCTTCTGCCCCCCAGCCCCCCCAGGTCCCCACTCAGTCCTGCCTCACAGCAGTTCGGAATCCATCCCGCCGGGGCCACAGCACGGCCAGCATCCTGCACCCCACAGCATCCTGCACCCCACAGCTGAGGAACCCCCCCCGCCCTCGAATCCACCTTTTATTGAGCTTTTTCATCCCCTCACCCCACAACTGCTCTACAGGTGGGATCGGGGGTTGCATATGGATAAAGGGCTTAATTGGGGTCGCACCCCTCTCTTCTCACCCGAGGGTGAGCTCCCCTCCCTCCCGGCCACCAGCCGGCTTGGGGAGAAAACCACATCCTTTTCCCCTTTCTCCCTGACCCCCTGACTTTTCCTGCCCCTTTTCCCCTTTTCCTCCCCCTTTCCCCTTTCTCTTTCCCCTTTCCCCACTTTTCCCCCCTAAGACAGCACAGGGAAAAGCCCCCATCTCTCCTCCTGGGCACCTCCAGAGAGGCAAAGCCCCCCCTGGATATAGGATTTTTCCTGCCTGGATATAGGATTTCTCCCCTATGTATAGGACTTTTTCCCTCATATGTAAGATTTCTCCTTCTGAATATAGGATTTCTCCCCTAGATACAAGTTTTCATTTAAAAAAAAAAAAAGAGGAGAAAGGGAGGAAAAAAAAATAAGGCACCCCTCCTTCCCCCCCAAAAGCCTGGCAGGGGTGTCGGGCTGATAGGCTCGCCCGGAGGAAAGCGCATTACGTAGGCAAGCGGCTCCGCTCAACTTGCCACCTGCGCCGGGAGAGCTGCCGGGGAAGCGAGATCCTGCCGGAGCCCCTCGCCCGCCGCTGGCCGCCCACCCGCCCTCCGCCATGGACTGCTGCAATGTAGGTCCCCTTCCCCCGGTCCCCTCCTGCCCAGCTGAGGAACCCCCCCCGCCCTCGAATCCAGCTTTTATTGAGCTTTTTCATCCCCTCACCCCACAACTGCTCTACAGGTGGGATCGGGGGTTGCATATGGATAAAGGGCTTAATTGGGGTCGCACCCCTCTCTTCTCACCCGAGGGTGAGCTCCCCTCCCTCCCGGCCACCAGCCGGCTTGGGGAGAAAACCACATCCTTTTCCCCTTTCTCCCTGACCCCCTGACTTTTCATGCTCCTTTTCCCCTTTTCCTCCCCCTTTCCCCTTTCTCTTTCCCCTTTCCCCACTTTTTCCCCCTAAGACAGCACAGGGAAAAGCCCCCATCTCTCCTCCTGGGCACCTCCAGAGAGGCAAAGCCCCCCCTGGATATAGGATTTTTCCTGCCTGGATATAGGATTTCTCCCCTATGTATAGGACTTTTTCCCTCATATGTAAGATTTCTCCTTCTGAATATAGGATTTCTCCCCTAGATACAAGTTTTCATTAACTGCATAGAGGTTTTTACCCCATGGATATGGTGTTTTTCCACTGGATATAGGATTTCTCCTGTGAATATAGGATATGGCCCCCTGTTTATGAGTTTATGGGTTTTCTTCCCTGAATATAGGATGTCTCCCTTGGATATAGGATTTTTTCTCCTGAATGTATGTTTTTCCCTACCTCTATACAGGATTTCTCAACTTGGATATAGGTTTCTGCCGCCTGTATGTAGGATTTCTTCCCTGAATATAGGATTTCTACCCTGGATATAGGAAATGCCCCCACATATATAGATTTCCTCCACCTGTATATGGTATTTCTCCCCTGGATATAGGATTTCCTCTCTCCTAATATAGGATTTCTCTCTTGGATATAGGATTTCTCACCTGGATATAGGATATGCCCCTCCATGTATAGGTTTTCTCCCCTGACTATAGGATTCCCTTCTCCAGATATAGTATTTCTCCCCTGGATATAGGTTTCTCCCACCTGTATATAGGATTTCTCCCCTGGATATATGTTGTTCTCCCCCACCTCTGCATATAAAGGATATCTCTCTTGAATATAGGATTTCTTTCCTAGATATAGGATTTCTTCCCCCTGGCTCTAGGATTTCTCCCCTGGCTATAGGATTTCCAGCCCTGGCTATAACATTTCCACCCTGGACATATCATTTCCACCTTGGACCCATCCTCACCTTTCACAATGGTAAAACAACCTGAGCAACTTCGTGGAGCCATGGCACGCTCCAACAGGATGAGCTTCCTCCCCCCTGAATCTACAGCTTCCAAATAAGCCCCCCAAAACTCCTTTAGGTCCTTTAAGTGCTCATGGGGCAACACAAAGGCTTCTCCCCCACAGCTGCTGGCACTGGATCATCCAATGCCAGCTCATTTCCACCTCATTTAATTTTCCCATGTTTTTCTTTTTTTCCCATTGAACTTGGTGCTGAGTCCAACTGCTCTGGTGGGATGTGGCAGGAGGGGAATTTGGTTAGAGTGGTTTGATCTTGGTGGGGCTTTTCCTCCCTTCTGGCGTCACTGCTTTCCCAAATTTCCTGGTGTTTCCAACCCAAGCCCTGAGGAGGGATGCAGGAAGATGCAACAGGCTATGAGAAAAGGGGAAACTGAGGCATGATCAGCTAATTTTGTGCAGGATGGCCCCCAGCCCCCTGCCAGAAGTATCCCCCAGAACCCATCCTCTGCTCCCATGGATTTTCCTCTCCCTGCTCATAACCCTGGCTGGAGTCTGGCTTCCTGCAGCCGTGTGGTCCAGGGTTGCCATTTCCCCAAGACACCTGCAAGGAACCCTGATTTTTAGCAAAACCCCTCGTTTTTAACAAAGGAGCCCAATTTTTAATGAGTAAACCTAATTTTTAGCAGCCTTCCACCTAATTTTTAGAACAGGGGCTCATTTAAGACCTTCTTGAACGGATTCCTTTGGGGAGGGGGCTGCGCTGTTTGAGGTGCCACCAGCTGTAACCCTGCCATTGCCGCCGTCAGGAGGGAGCCTGCACAAAGCTGGACGAGGACATCCTGGACATCCCTTTGGACGATCCTGATGCCAACGCGGCAGCTGCCAAGATCCAGGCTAGTTTCCGTGGCCATATGACCCGCAAGAAGATCAAAGGGGGTGAGATTGATCGGAAAACCAAGGACGCCGAGTGCGCCAACAGCACCCGCGGCGGCGACCTCCGCAACGGCGACTAGGTACACCCCAAATCCAGCTTCTTCCCCCCAAAACTGGGTCATTTCTATAAGGATGCTGCTCTGAGTGTCCTTTGCTCTGTTGATTTGGGATGGAGCACCCTTCCCCAAGCTGATTTGGGATGGAGCATCCTCCCCTGCAGAGATTTGGGATGGAGCATTCTGCTCTGCGCAGATATGGGATGGAGCATTCTTCCCTGTGCAGATTTGGGATGGAGCAACCTTCCCCACACTGGTTCAGGGTGGAGAAGGGGTTTTTCCTCCCAGGAGATGGAAATACACAGTCAGGCAGCCCCTGCCTTGCCCTAAATTTGGGTGCGCGCCGTAGTAGTTGGGAAGGATGGGAAGTAGGATGGGAAGGCGCAGCCCTAGATTTGGATTGAATCTCTCCCTTAGCAACACCACCCCGAGCGCCTCGCCTCAGCACATGCTATTTTTAAAAGCCTGTGTCACAGTCTCCTGGCAGGAAAAGGTAAATTTAAAAAGCGCCCACGGTGCCGAGGCCGCGTGGCATTGGAGCCCGGGTGGTGGCTGCGCCGTGGCCGGGCCGTGCCCTGAGCCGTGCCGGTGCCGGGAGCGCGGGATGGCCCCGGGTACCGGCGGGGCTGCTTCGGGGTTAGCGGCGGGGAGGGCGTGCTGCCGGCTCGGCCACGTGAGTGTGGCGGGGCTGCTGGAGATGCAGCTGGGATGAGACTGGGGTGCAGCTGGGATGGAACTGGGATGCCGTGAGGATGGAGTAGGAATGCAATGGGGATTTAGTGCAGATACGGCGGGGATGAACTGAAGATGCAGCGGGAATGCAGTGAGGAGGAAGAGAAGGATGCAGTGAGGATGCAGTGGAGATTCAACAAGGCTGCAGTGGGAAGGAACTGAGGATGCAGTGGAGATGGAACTGGAGCTCAGCTGGGACGCAGTGGGAATGAACTGAGGATACAGTTCAGAACAGAACTGAGACGTGGTGGGGAAGCAATGGGGATGCAGTGAGAATGCACTGGAGATTCAGTGAAAATGCAGTGAGCATGGAGAGGCAATTCAGCGGGGCTGGGATGAGAATGAACAGAGGATGCAGTGGGGATTTTGTGAACATCCAGTGGGGACAACGTGAAAACAGTGAGGCTGCAGTGGGGCTGCAAAGGGGATGCAGTGAGGATGTGAGGGGATGAACTGGGTTTGCAGTGGGGAAGCAACAGAGATCCAGTGAGGATGCAATGAGAATGAACTGGAGATGCAGTGGGGATTCAGTGGGACTGCAGTGAGGACTGAGCAAGGGTGCACTGGGGCTGCAGTGAGGATGCCAGAGGGCTGCAGTGAGGAAGCAGCTGCCAAGTGTAGGTGCTGTGCAGCTTCTTAGGGCCCGGAGGTTCCTTTGGGATGCCTTATTAGGGGGGCTGAGCAGTTTGGCAGCAGGGGAGCCACGTTCCCCTCCTTCTGCCACAGTGCTCTGCCTAGGGGGGTGCAGGCAGGGGTCCCCCCCAGGTTCCTGGGCTGGGTGAGGGCAGAGTGTGGGCAGCAGTGGAGGCAGGACAAGGGTGCAGGCAGGGTGTGGGTGGGCTGCAAGTAGAGCACGGGCAGGGTGTGGGCAGGGGGAGGGCACGGAGAGGGTGCAGGCTGCAGGAGCAGCATGTGAACAGGGTGCAGGGTGTGGGAAGGGTGCAGTCAGGGCACAGGCAGGGTGAAGGGTGCAGGGTGCAGACAGGGCATGGGATACAGAGAGCACACACACAGGCTACAGGCAGGGTACAGGGTGAAGGGTATAGGCACAGCACAGGGTACAAACAAGGCTCAGGGCTCAGTGCACAGGCAGGGTGCAGGGTACAGGCAGGGTGCAGGGTGAAGGGTACAGGCACAGCACAGGGTACAAACAAGGCTCAGGGCTCAGTGTACAGGCAGGGTGAAGGGTGCAGGGTGCAGGCAGGGCACGGGGTTCAGGCAGGCACAGGGTACAGAGAGCACTGAAGGTGCAGGCAGGGCACGGGGCACAGGCAAGGCTCAGGGTGCAGGCAGGGCCAGCCCAGGCTGACCACTCGCTCTCTCCTTCTTGCAGGGGCCACCAGCTGCTCACCGGAAACCCCTCGCCACCGACTCCCTCCCACCGCCGCCCGCCGAGGCCCAGGAGCCCCCGCTTCACCCCCTGCCCCCCGCATGCGTCCCCCGGGGTACCCCCACAGCCAGGCCGTGCCCCTGCCCCTGGCTGCCCCCCCCCAGCCCAGACACCCCCCGCCCCAATAAACGCCCCTGCCAGAGCCCCGGCCTGTCCTCGGTGCCTTCTGATGTCACCGGCAGAGCGGTGAGGTCACAGCGGGCGGGGGGGGAGGGGCGTGGGGCAGGTGTGCCCAGCAGGGATCTCCCATGTGTACCTGCAGCATGTGCAGGCACGTGTGACATCACTGCCAGGCGTGTGACGTGACATCAGGGTGTGGTGTGACGTCACCCGAGGGTGGAGGTGACTTGTGGGGTGCTGGCATGAGATGGGCGGTGATGTCACTACTGGACAAGTGACAGCTGCTGTGACACCACACAGGTGTGTGTGATGTCACTGCTGGATGTGTGACACCGTGCAGGTGTGTGTGATGTCACTGCTGGATGTGTGACACCGTGCAGGTGTGTGTGATGTCACTGCTGGATGTGTGACACCGTGCAGGTGTGTGTGATGTCATGCTGGATGTGTGACACCGTGCAGGTGTGTGTGATGTCACTGCTGGATGTGTGACACCCTGCAGGTGTGTGTGATGTCATGCTGGATGTGTGACACCATGCACGTGTGTGTGTGATGGCTGGAGTGACATCATTCCACTGAGTGTGATGTCACTACTAGGTGTGACTGTGGGTGTGACATCATACAGGCACATGTCACATCACTGCTGCTGTGTGATGGCAAGTGTGACATCATGCAGGCACACATGACATCCCTGATGGACATGTGACATGCCTGTATGGCATCATCCAGGCATCAGTCAGATGCTGTGATGTCACACACTCATTGTGGTGTTCTACCTCCTGACGCAGGGAGTGACATCACGGTCACAGGGTGTGACGTACATCATGATGTCACCTTACCCTGAGGAGCCTGGCTGGTGCACTGTGACATCACCCTGCCCTATGACATCACCCAGAAAGCTGTGGGACATCCCTCCCCGCCTCGAAATCCGCACAAACTCATCCAAAGCGCCGGTGCTGGGCAGCGCAGCAGCTTTTAATCAGAAAACCCCTAAAAAAAGTGTGTGTGTGTCCCCATCACCCCTCCTCCCCCCACCCCTACTTTCTTTTACGAAAAATCCCTCATTTCACCTGATATATAGATATAGAAAAAAAAAATCATAAGAAGGGGACCCCCCTGAGGCAGGGCTGGGGCTGGTTTGGGGGGTGATATTTAGGGGGAGACTCGGTCCCTCCAAACCCAGAGAGCCCCTGCACCCATTAAACACACCCACGATGAGTCCAGCTGCTCGAGGCATCTGTTAAAAAGAAAAGGAAACCCAAAAAGGGACCAAAACCACCCCAGGAACCAGGGAGTGGGATGGGCTGGCTATGGGCACCCCTGTTTTTTGGGGATGCTCACACCAAGGAGCCGGCCCGGCTCTGCGCTGGCACCATGACTGGAACGGCGCCTGCTCGTGCCAGGCTGGAGGGGGGCAGCGACGCCACGGGAGCGGCGGCTGGATCCTGGCGGCGCCGGGGGGTCCCGTTAACGGCGGGGGGTGAGAGGTTGGGGGGCCGCCCCCCTGCCCGGGGCGGGGGTCCCCGGTAGCTGCCGGTGGTGGTGAGGATGGAGGCGGTGTCGGAGGGGGCTCTGGCCCCGTAGGCTTGCCGGGTGCCGGCGATGGAGGACAGGGTGCTGGTTTTGGACATGGTGTCTGAAGCTGGCCTCCGCGCCCACGACGGGGTTTTGGGTGCCACGGCGTCTTCCCTGCCAAGAGGGGAGAGCGTCAGAGATCAGCTCTGGAAACCCTTCCTTCCCCCCGCACAGTGTACTCTCCCTGGGCAATGAGGGTGTGCAGACGTCCTGGACCCCCAAACAGAGGGACAAAAGGGAAAGAGGTGGAAAATCCCCTTGTTAACTCTGACACCTCATGACAACTGGCCAGAGGTGGAAACGTTTTTCCTGATTGTTGCCGCTGGAGCACACTGATGACTGGCCAGAGTTGAAGAACTCTTCCCCACTATTAACTCTGAACCTGAGAAATGATGGGCCAGAGGTGGAAACACCCTCCTCACTCATTAACCCTGAAACCTAATGATGATTTGAACCCCCTCCACAGGAAAAGTGCCTCACTTGATCTCGTTGGCTCCCTCCTCCTGGCTGTCACGTTTTTTCCTCCTGTAGCCAAAAAACTTCTGGGCAAAGAAGATGATGGTGGCAATGGCACCCAGGGAGCCCAGCACGGCGCCAGCAATGACTGCTTTGGTGCTTTCTGCCAGAGAGAGACAGAGATTCCCTTATTGCCTTATTCCCACTGGGACCTCATGGGGACTGTGTCCCCCTCCCCGACCCTGTGGACACGTACTCACTTGAGTGTACCTCCAGGACAATGCTGCAGTTCTTAGAACCTGCTTGGTTTTCAGCCCTGCAGACGTAGACCCCCGACATTTCCAGGGAGAGGTTGGTCAGCTTGAGGGTGCCCCTGGCCCGGTCTGCAGGTGAGAAATTTGGGTGCTGCCTCACAGCCACTCCTACACCCTCCACCTCCTCGTGCAGGAAGCGGTCAAGAGGGTGAAGCCAAAGAATCCCCGAGCTGAATCTCCTCAGGATATTCCAGCCCACCCACCCACCCCACTCCCCAGCCCCACACTGGTGCCACCTTACCCTGGGCAGGGGGAAAGAAGACCTGCAGGGTGGGCGGCTCGCGCTGCCACTGGTACATGGGCGAGGGCTTCCCCTTCTTGGAGGAGCAGCTCAAGGTCACGTTGGCCCCCACGATGGCGTTGCCGTGCAGTTGGCAGGTGGGGGTGGCCGGTGGCACTGTGGGCACAGATGTTAGTCCCGAGGGGCACCACGGGGAGGTCCGGGGCAGCCGGGGGCACTGGTGGAGCCTTACCCAGGACGGTGAGGTTGATGAGGCCGACGTTCTTGTGCATCCTGATGGGGTCATCCACCACGTTGACAGTGCACATGTACTGACCCGAGTCTTGCTCCCGGGTGGCGTTGATGAACACCGAGATGTTGTGGGTGATGATGGGGTACAGGAACCCCACGCGGGACTTCAGATCTGTCTCCTCCACCTTCACCACCCCACCTATGTATGACAGGATCTGCATAGGGAAAAAAACACATGCTTTTGCTTCCAGATCGTGCTGCTGGAGAGAAAAGCCCCTCAAATCCCAAATTTTGTAGAGCAGTGGCTGCTGCATAAGCCCCCTCCAGCCTTACCTCCCCTGAGCATCCTGGATATGAGAACTGCAGGCAGCTCCCCACCACAGGCACAAATACCCCTGACATGGGCACTATGAGCAACTGTCCCATCATGAGCATCTCCCCATCAGGAGCACCACAAGTGGTGTCCCCATTGTGATCATTTTCCCACTATAGGCACCATGGGCATTTCCAAGGACATCTCCCACTCATGGGTATCTCCCCATCTTAAGCAAGACAAGCAACTCCCTATTGCAGGCACCCTGGGCATGACCCCAGCGTGGGCATCTCCCCTCACGGGCACAATGAGCACCTCCCCACCGTAGGCACCTCCTGATGATGAGGACCACAGTCATCTCCCCACCATTTCCCACCATGGACACCACAAACACTTCCCTGTACAGGCATCTCCCCTCTTGGATCTCTCCCCATCTTGTGTCTCTCCCTGCTGCGGGTACCACAAGCACCTCCCTACTGCAGGCACTGTGGGCATCACCACATCACCATGAGCACCCCCCATCAAGGGCACTCCCCCATGGTGGGCACCATGAGGTTCCCCCATCATGAACACCACCCTATCTCAGGCACTACAAGCAGCTCCCCATGGGTGTGGGGATGGCACCATGAGCATGTCCCCCATGGTGGTCACCTCCCCATGGTGGGTGCCATGAACTTCACCCTATCATGGACCAACTCCCCACTATGGGCACCACAAGCATTCCCCCACTGTGAGACCCACATGCATTTCCCCATGGTAACGTCCCCACCATGAGCATCTCCCCTTTGTGGGCATCTCCCCATCATGGGCGCCACGTCCTTACCAAGGACACTTACCCATTGTGGGCCGCCGTGAGGTTCCCCCCCTCATGGGCACTTACCCATTGTGGGCATCTTCCCTGCACGGGCACCATGAGTGTCATCCCATCATGAGCATCTTGGTGGGCACCATGAGCTTCCTTCCATCATGGACACCTCATCATCGTGGGCATCCTTTCACCACGGGTACTGTGGCCACTACCCCATGGTGGGCACCATAATCTTCCCCCCATCATGGGCACCACCAGCACCCCCTCCATGGTCACCGACACCTTGGTCCCCTCCACCTCCAGTCCTGCAGCCCCTGCCCTCTTCTCACCTGGAAGGGAGTAGGTTTCTTGTTCAGCATCCAGGTGATGTAGGGCTCATTCTGGGAGTGGCTGGTGTACCAGACAGGCAGCACTGCCTGCTGCCCCTCCACGGAGAACACCAGGCTCGTCCCCACATGCACCTCCAGCACGGCCAAGGAGACACCTGCCCGTGGGAGAGGGAAGAAACCGGGAAATGACTCAACCCCAGGTGCGACTTCTTCACAAAACCTCACTGACTGTGAGAAAAAAAAACCCATTCCCAAGACAAAAACAACAATCCCAGGTTATCACCAGGAAGCTGAGCCAAGAGAACATTTTGCCTCCTTCCCTGCCACAGGAAGGGCTTTCCGCCTGCTCCAGAGGATGCAGGACATCGCTGCTCCCTCCCATCCCAGCTTCCGCCCCACACTCAGCTTGGGAATTCCTAAGGCCCTAAGTCACCCTTCCCAGGAGGCAGCCAGCTCCAGCAGGCAGACACCCCCCTTAGCTCAGTACTGGGGTGCTCCCAGCTTCCCAAGATGCTGCAGCAGATCCCATGGGATTTATTTGTAGGGATCCCCCATATGCACCCCACAAGCCTTTCCCAGCATCCCAGTATCCCCCATTTTTGCTGCAGCACTAAACTGGGATAATCCATGAGCGGCTTCCTCCGGTGCCCCGTCTCATTTGACCCCAAATATCCCATCCCAATCCCCTGTCACCACATCCCCTACATCCCAGCATCCCCCCAAGCCCCACTGGGAGGAGTTGATGGTACCACGGACCAGGG